CGCCGCACCGCGTGCCTGTGAAGCTGGTGTGTTATGCCGATGGGCGGTTATACCGGCTATACAGAATCTGAACAGATACAGAAAAAGCAAGATGCCTAGATTTGAAATATACTAAGGGACGACAAATGTTAGTACACAAATTGAATGAGATAACACAGTGTAACAACCAACAAGTCTTTTATTGTCGTGAAAACAGCAAGAAATCAGTGTCACCCTGCCCTGTTTCTTTCCTTTCATCCTATCTTCCAATCTTGCAATTTGCCGCACTGTTGTCACTCTTTGATCATAGAGTCCATTCCGCGTCACCGAGTGGGTTTTTTCTCCATGTTTCTAATATGTTTGAATTATTTAGAAGAAAAGAATACCCCAGGAACAAAAGTTCTAAATTTTTCAAAAATTTGAAAATGAAAATTTGAATATATTTGAATTCATTTATATATTTCTGAAACATTTTGAATGTGACTGTACAAAGATCTCTTTCTTTAGAATAAATTTGAACTACCCATGTGTTTCTTTCACAATTCGAAATATTTAGAACTATTTCAAACAAATAACCAAATGGTAGATGTGGGTAATTGCCCCCATAAAAGTAGGTGCTAATCCTACTCTTCTGTCTTCCTCTGTATATTTTTAGATTTCACTGCTGGACACTGGTGGCTCTTTTGTTGTAAGGCATCAATGCCTGACACCCAGGCAGTCTGCCCTGTACTTCACAGGGATGTGTGAATTACTTCCTTCCCATCCCACTGACCTATTTACAAAATGTTAGAAATAATTCGAAATAATGGTAAAAAATGGTAGAGTGCTGTTAGAAATATTTAGAAACTATTGGAAATGTCATAATCCACATCAGGAATATTTCAAACGTTTTAGAAAACCAGGGAATTATTTAGAATATTGACAAGATGTTCAAAATATTTCCAAATTATGAAATTTCTTAGACAAACAATTACAAAGAATTCAAAACATTTCTAAATAATGACAATAACAACCCACTCGGTGACGCGGAATTGACTCTAATATTACTTCCTTCTATTTTTATATAAACTAAATTACGTTAATCATTTACCGGATGCAAAACAGTCGGCTTTTTGGTATTTATAATCCAAATCTAAAAAAACGTTAGATATTAGTCGAAAGATATTTGTTCGTATGACATATAGGTGCACACTTCTATGGCCAAAATTTGGTAAAATTTTAACTCTTTCAACCTTGTTTTCTATAAACCTTATATTAACATTGACAGCTTATAAATCTGTATGATTTCTTCTTCTTTTTTCATTTGGCCATAGAATGTACATTTGTACACACTTCGTCAAAGTAAACTACTAGGAAATCAAACATAGCACTTTCGTGAAAACGCAACGCTAACAGAACAACCTACCTTTCAACTAATGTGTACAATTATTTACATATAATAATAATAATCACTACTCTATGTATATCTGCATTATACAATTAATGCATCAAGTTAATTCTTATTTCAGTACAATCCTAGATACATGTAGTTATCAAAAAGTTTTTTTGTTCATAATTTTTGATACTAGAATATTTGTATATGGGCTAAGTACATGTAATACTAAACTAAAAATTATTCTTATGACAACCATTGTTTTATAGTAATTAATAATACAGCGCATGCTCTGGATATAGCTTTGCCTATTTGGAAGTACTGTACATGTATTATAATTTTCATAAGAATATTTAGCCTAACTGTTTTTGAAATAGCAAGGAGGTTTGCATTTTAAACCTCGTTGGAAACAGTAATACAGTAGTATAGAGAAACTATACAGGATTGTGCGAACTAAATGTCACTACCAGATTAGATGGACACAGTTGCAGAGTTGGTGCCTTAGTGTGAATTTTTTTATGTTGAGTTAGGGCAGACTTACAGGCTGTAGAATAGCTACACTGGTCACACTTGTAGGGTTTATCTGCTGTATGGGTTCTCATATGTTGGGATAAGGCAGGCCTGTGATCTGTTATGTATCCACACTCCCCACACTTGTAGGGTTTTTCTACTGAATGGGTTTTTATGTGTCGGGATAAGTGATACTTTTGAGCTGTCCTGTACCCACACTCCCCACACATGTAGGGTTTCTCACCGGTGTGTTTTGCTTTATGTTGGTTCAAGTGAGATTTCCATGCTGCAGAATAGTCACACTGGTCACACTTGTAGGGTTTTTCTCCTGTATGGGTTCTCATATGTATGGATAAGGCAGACTTGTGAGCTGTCCTGTACCCACACTCCCCACACATGTAGGGTTTCTCACCGGTGTGTATTGCTAGATGTAAGTTTAAAGCAGATTTCTGTGTTGCAGAATAGTCACACTGGTCACACTTGTAGGGTTTTTCTCCTGTATGGGTTCTCATATGGCAAAACAGGTTGGACTTATGATTTGTTCTGAACCCACACTTCTCACACATGTAGGGTTTCTCACCGGTGTGTATTGCTAGATGTAAGTTTAAAGCAGATGTCTGTGTTGCAGAATAGTCACACTGGTCGCACTTGTAGGGTTTTTCTCCTGTATGGATTCTCATATGTCGGGATAAGGTAGACTTGAACTTTTGAGTTGCCCTGTACCCACACTCCCCACACATGTAGGGTTTCCCACCGGTGTGTATTGCTAGATGTTGGTCTAAAGAGGACTTGTGTGCTGCAGAATAGTCACACTGGTCACACTTGTAGGGTTTTTCTCCTGTATGGGTTCTCATATGTATGGATAAGGCAGACTTGTAAGCTGTCCTGTACCCACACTCCCCACACATGTAGGGTTTTTCTCCTGTATGGATTCTCATATGTTGGTCCAAGTGAGACTTGCAAACCGCCCTGTATCCACACTCCCCACACATGTAGGGTTTCTCACCGGTGTGTTTTGCTAGATGAAGGTCCAAATGAACTTTCTGCGCAGCAGAATAGTCACACTGGTCACACTTGTAGGGTTTTTCTCCTGTATGGGTTCTCATATGTTGGGATAAGTGAGACTTTATAGCTGCCCTGTATCCACACTCCCCACACATGTAGGGTTTCTCACCGGTGTGTTTTCGTACATGTCTGTCCAAATTGGATTTCTCTGCTGCAGAATAGTCACACTGGTCACACTTGTAGGGTTTTTCTCCTGTATGGGTTCTCATATGCTGAGATAAGTAAGACTTTTTAGCTGTCCTGTACCCACACTCCCCACACATGTAGGGTTTCTCACCAGCATTATTCAAGTTGACTTGTGCTGCCACCTGGTCTTCAGCATTGCTTGTTTTGCTGTTGCAGTCGACCTGGGAAACCCCGGTGGGAGACCCATCATCTAAGTTCTCGGCAACTCCGGTGGGAGACCCTTGTCCTGTCGTTGCCATGTTCAGCCTAATTAGAAAAGGAAGAAATTATCAAAATTAAGCGTTAAAAGCTGCCAATGATAAAATTAGGTTGGAAAGAGACTTGGCATTTTAGGTTTTGTTTTAGTCTTATCCATTCGCTGTTTTCACAAATCAGATTTTTCTAGATTTGTAATGTATGCCTTATGGTTGGTTGGTTTGTTTAGCTTTTATGCCCACTATCATCAAAATGATCATTCTAACGTACTCATTTTCACCTGAGCAAAGTG